AACCATGGCCGCCCGAAGACTAATTCCTTTCATGGAGATTAACGGTTGTGGCTCAAATAGGAAGTAGGACCAACGTTGGAATCAGGGCTTCGGTGGTAGCACTTTTTTCTTCGCTCTTCGATCCGGTACAGAGGTCCGTACCGATAGACTAGAGAGGCAAGAAGGTTTCGCACAACCCCACACCCCCAACCCCTAAACCCTAAACCCTATGCATCAAAATCACCTAAAAACCTTGTCTAGTATAGTCTTTGGGCACAAATTCCTCCAAATATGAATCCTTAGATGCTTAGGGTAAACCCAAGGCCCTAAACCCTATCACCCCACACCCTGAGCCCTTGAGCCCAGCTTGCTTTGCTGAGCCGGCCTTGAAGGGCCAAGGACTCCAATTCTTTGCAGGGTCCTGTTCGGGACTTGGGCTTTGGATGTTGAGGGGCTTCAGGGTTCAGGTATGAGATTAGGGTTTAGGGCGTCAGGGTTTAGGGATTAGGGTTTAAGGCTTAAACAGACAACTAGAGGGTCCGAGGGGACTAAACAAGTGTACCATGTATAGACACGAAAAATCATAAACTCAGCTTTACATTCTTAACCTGCTTCCACGTGAACAGTCAAATCCCCTCTGGGAGAAAATTAAACAAGGTAACCCCACATTCTTCGGTATCCAAAGCCCTAAACTCTCTGATGCGATCTACAAAGTGTCCAACACAAGCACACATACGAGCTGCACAAGTTGGTTGCTGGCAACCCGAAACCCTAAACTGGGGGAACTTAATTTAAGTTACTATATTGGGGAAACCTTATTTTTCACTATATATACCCATTATGGTAACTTAATTTAAGTTCCTTAACAGCAACCCAGTAAAGGATGTTTTTGAGAAGCACTCGTACAACAAGCTAGCTTTGGCTTGTGGGCCTTCATAGCTGGGCCCTCTACTCTGGACCATGGATTGTGGCGAGGTTAGCATGGCACGCGCTTTTTGGTGAGTTTAGGGTTTTGGGCTTAGGCAATACATATCGAAGCCATACATACTTCTTGTTGCACCATATAAGACACTTGCGACTGTAGCCCACTTGGAACTTAACAGCATAACTCCATTATTCCTTATCAGCAACTATCTAAATCCTTATATAGCCCCAAATCCTATTTCATGTTCCATCTCTTTTGCAGTTGATCCTCCACTATCCCGAAACCCTAAACCCTGCGCAGAGGTTTCCGACCAGGGGTAGTAAGTCGTAAAAGCAAACGGCTATGTTCCGCGGAGGCCTGGCCTCCAAACCCTACCCGCTACTTACTGGTTCTTGTAGATTAGGAATATAATCCCCATCCATATTATATTATTGATTCAATTTTTCCTACTAATAGCCAGTAAGATTATGCGGGGTACAAGGCCATCTTCAAGGGTAGTTGGTTGCTTTATGTACAGTTCAGGGGAGGTCTTCCAAACGGGGATACCGCAAGGGGACGATGGTGGGTCCTACACAACACAATGTATAAGGGGGCTTGCAGACAAACCCAATACCTTGGGTCATTTGGCCTCTCGGTAAACTTCATCGAAGCTGTTTACTAGAATAACACTTGTTGTGACTGTTACAGTACTGTAAGGGGGTTGTAGCTGTTACAGTACCCCACGGGGGAACCACGACGTAACGAATATCCTTAATCCAAACTGGGTGGTTAGCCCCTAAAACCCTTTGAAAGACATGCGTATATAGGGTCCCTCTCCAATTGAAGCCATTAGGGAAAAGATGAAAGCTCTCAGGGGCGTACCCAGCAAAACAGGACGAGCCCTGGCCTCATCGAAGCGCAAATACGGCTCAAGAAGCTCGCAAGTCTCATCGTTGATGTTATCCTCTGGACATGGGCATGAGACATTCACATACAGCATGCCGGCATGGCAATAAAGAGGCCTTGTGCATGGCTTGTGCGGGGAAGGCGATCTTGTGGAATGTGCATTGGAACAAGGTGGGTCATGCTGGAGTGTGGTCCGTTTTGCAGAGGTTCTCCTCCGCGGCTCGGTAAAAACACCTAGCTACCTGGTAGTTTCCAATATAGACCGCCATATTCGCTAATTCTTGATGGGGACCATTTCCCAAAAACAAACTTTTCAAAACCGCCATTTCAGACTTAGACCCGAACTGTTTTTTTTTTCTCAGGCTTTGAGCGTGAGGTACGGCATTGATTGTGCAAATGATGTCTCTTTGGTAGCTTATTTAACCCAGCAAGTACTAGAACCAAGAGGAACAGGAGGATGTAGTCTCCCCATGAGAAAAACTTCTCTGTCAGCGTCCGAGGTGTAGACGACTGGTCTTTAGCCTTAAACCCTCAACCCCGAACCCTCATCCCTGAACCCT